AAAGTTCAGGTATCAGAAAGGCTGATTCCTCCTGGAGGCTCTCGGAGAATCCATTTCCCTGCCTTTTTCAACCTGTAGTGGGCTCACTTGATTCCTTGCCTGCAGCCTCTCCCTCCATCTTTTTTTTTTTTTTAATATAAGTAAAATAAAGGTATTGTACCTATTTTTATGTGGCACTAAGGATAGAACCCAGTGCCTCACACATGGTAGGCAAGCACTCCCCCACTCAGCTACAACCCAGCCCATCTCCCTCCACCTTCAACTTCTCTGACTTCTCCTTTGTCCTTATAAGGACCATGTAATTATGGTACGCCTACCCAGATAGTCCAGCAAAATCTCATTAAGATCCTTAAATTAAATTGCAAACTCCTTTTTGTTGTAAGGTAACATTCACAGATTCTAGGGCTTAAAAGACAAGAGATTAGGGGACCATTATTCAGCCTACCACAAAGAGTTAAGCGTAGAATCAGCATATAACCCAGCAATGCTTCTCCTCAGTATGCTCCCAAAGGAGCTGAAAACACTTGCCCAAGCAAAAACGTGTGCACACATGTTAATGGCAGCATTAATCTTAACAGCCCCAAAAGTGGAAACAACCCAAATGTCCACCATTAATGAATGGATGAACAAAACGTGCTCTCTCCATATGATGGAATAGTGTTCAGTCAGAAAAAAATGAACCAGATATGTGCTACAACATGGAGGAACCTTGACAACTATGCCGAGTGGAAGAAGCCAAGCACCCAAGGTCACATACTGAAGGACTCCATTCATATGAAAGTCCAGAAGGTAAACTCATGGAGACAGAGAGTGGTCTCGTATTTGCCAGGGGCTGTGAAGAATGAGATATAGGAACTGATTGCTTAATGGGCATGGGGTTTATTTTTCAGGGGGAGTGGACAGGAATGAACCCAGGGATGCTTTACCACTGGGCTACATCCCCAGTCCTTTTTATTTTGAGACGGGATCTAAGTTGTTGAGGTTGCCCTTGAACTTGAAGTTCTCCTGCCTTGGCCTCCCAGGCGGTTGGGATTACAGGTGTGCACCACCACCCCTGGTTGGGCATGGGGTTTCTATTTGAGGTGATAAATGTTTTAGTGCTGATGGTTGTGTAACCTTGTGAACACTGGAAGTTACTTATTTTACACTTTAAAGGGGTGAATTTGGAGATATGTATATTAGATCAGAATTATTTTTTTAAAAAATAAATATGCTAATATAGGATAAATAGGGAAACGATTTTTTTTTCATTGTTTCACACCTTCCTCTGTTGGGAAAAACCCCAAGGACTACTCTAGACTAATGAAGTTAACTTGATATATATAGTTCTTGTCCCTATGGCAATTCAGAGAATGATCATTCATTACCATGGATGAAAGCGGATGCGTTATTGAATCCACTTGACAAAATTGAAACAATCTCTGCCCTCAAAGAGCCCTAAGCAGCTGGAATCCCAGACACTGGGGAGACTGAGGCAGGAGGATTGCATGTTCAAGGACAGCCTCAGCAATTTAGCAAGGCCTTAAGCAACTTGGTAAGGCTCTGTCTCAAAATAAAAAATAAAAGGGGTTAAGGATGTGACTCGGTGGTTAAGTACCCCTGGATTCCCTAGTACAAAAAAAAAACAAAACAAAACAAAAACAGGTGGGACTGTAACTCAGTGGTAGGATACATATTGAGAGTGAACCCAAGGTATGTATGAATATGAATAAAAACACATATAATGTTATCAAAATTCAAAATTCACAAAATAGGGATAGCCTTAAAGTCAACCCAGGATTTATATACAGTGGAGTTGGGGAGGATGGAGGCTGAAAGATAGTGTTCAAGTCTTAGGAAAGATGTCATCTCCAGGGACTAGATGCCTCTACTTAGAAGTAACCTCCATGAATCCTCATTTCCTAACCCACCAGACTTAGTGCAGCAAGCGAGTTTCCAGTTTGCAGTGGCAATTACTCCCATCAGACATGGATCCCACAGACTCACCACCATGCGTAAAGACCCTTAGCATTCTGAGGAAGGCACTTTGGCTGGAACCATGATTTCTTCACTCCTTCCTTGAAAGGCCCTAAATCAGTCTAGAAGCCCTGAATCTATTAAACACGCCCAAGCCAGAGAAACTCGCTCAAGGATGTATTTTGCACACATCTGCTCTCAATGCCACGTTCTGACGTACCCTTTTGGCTATTTTTTCAGAAGCAGGATCAGCAGACACATGATTGATATTCCTTCTCTTTAAGACCTGCTCATCTTTCCTGGCCTTCCGAAGCTCCACGCTGACAATGATCCTCTGTTGTCGCCTCATCTAGGGAGGATAAGAAACAGTTGCAACAATCAGAGTCAGAGAGCACAGGATGCTTTGTCATTTAGCCTTTGGAGCAGGTGGCAAGGCCTATAAGTTCATTTTTTTACAGTTGCAATAGCCTGGAAGAATCAAGGTCACAGAACCAGTAAATCATCTCGGCCCGCCTCTGCTTTCTCCCAACCTTGTACCTCTAGGAAAAAAAATTCAATCTTCTGCCCCAAATTATAGGAAGGTCATGTTCATCCTTGACAGGCAGAATTCTCAGCCATAAAGACATGAGCAGAGCAATCCACTATCCAAGTCTGAGCATATCCTCATGGATGTTGATTAGTTTGGAAGACTATAAAGTCCTAATGGGCCTAGACCTTCCAGTGGTGGCCAGATTAGTGGCGCTGGGGACTCTGGTGGGCTACCCATGAACTAGATGCACCATCTCAGAGGTTTTACTTAAAGACATTGAAGGAAATTTAAAAAGAATTTTTAATTGGATTGGATAGAGAGAAATGATGGGAGAGGAGGGGAGGAGTAGGGGGATAGGAAGGGCAGCAGAATAGACATTATGATTGATGTATGTATATAGGTGACTATGACCAGTGTGATTCTGCAATTTGTTCAATTAGAAAAATGAGAAATTATACCCCAATGATACAAATGTATGAATTGCCAAGATCATTGTAATGTCATGTGTAGATAAGAATTTTTTAAAGGCTTTTTTCCTTAAATAAGTCAACAATACACAGAAGTATTATGAATCCTGGAGAATGACCTAAACTTCTTGGATAAATTAGTTTATTTTATCTGTTTATTTTTATGTGGTGCCAAGGATCGAACTCAGTGCCTCATGCATGCTAGGCAAGCGCTCCGCCACTGAGCCACAGCCACAGCCACAGCCCTGGATAAATGAGTTTAAAGACTAAAATAGTGGTCTGGGGTTGTGGCTCAGCGGTAGAGCACTCGCCTTGCATGTGTGAGATCCTCAGAACCATATAAAAATAAATAAGTGAAATAAAGGCATTGTGTCCAACTAAAAAATAAATATTAAAAAAGGACTAAAATAGTAATTACAATCATTTATTGCCTAATGATGGGAATGCATTAAGAAACGGGTTGTCAAGACAATTCTGTCATTGTATAAACACCACAGAATGTACTCACACCAACTAAGATAGCTATGTCGTCACCAAGCAATGCAAGCTTACAGCACCACCATCATCTATGAGGTTGCTAGGTGGTACAAGACTGCAGAAATTAGTTAAGATGTATTAGAGACTTTCGGTTCCTTAAACAAATCATTTAATTCTTGCTTGAAAACAAGGTCATTATCTGTTAAAAGGCAAAGCATCACACCTTTGAGGCCCTTAGAACCAATGGTACTGTGGTCCTGTCACCAAATGGGACCTGCTTGTGAACAGAGGGTTTTGAACCTTTGTCTTCTCTCTCCTCAGCTGCTAGCCTTTCCTACTGTTTCCCACAGAGAGGGTTCAGTTCCTTTGTTCTATCTGGTTTCCTTTAATCTGCAATGGTCCTAGAAGCCAGAGAGCCACGCTGGCTGGAACAGTTTACCCTAACTGTGATTTAGTCCTGGACATGTCCTAACCAGGCTTTCACAACCAAGTGCTTCCTTCATCTTAAGCTGCCTTTCAGATTCCCAGTCTTATATGAGATGTCAGTCATGCTACACAGTTGGGGATAGAGGAGTAGGAAAGCCATGAGACCAGAAAAGCTGAATGAAAGAATCCACACACACAGATTCCTGCCCCCACCCTAATGTCCACCCTGGAAACAAGCCCAATAAACTGGACTTTTCTGTTCCAGTCCTATTTCTGCAAGGCATGCTACTGCCTTTATGCCAACATTTGAGTTCCTTCGTAGACCTCCTGCTGCCACAGCCCAGCATCTATAGACCTGGCCCTTCAGAGGCAGTGAGCAGCCCCATTTTCTAGATGAAGAAACTAGAACTCTGAAGTTACATAATTTAAAGGTCATATGGAAACCTTGATTTAGGCCCAAAGTTGTCTGGCTCCTAAGTCCATATACTTTTGTCCTCTCTGCCTTTAATATTTTATTTTGAAATTTTTAAACATGCAAAAAAAAATTTGAAAGAATCATTCAGTGAACATCTGAACCCCTAAACAAGTATTTTGCTAGAACTGCCTTCTCTCCCTGCCTCTCCACCTGATTCTTGATGCCTTTCAACCATGCGATTTTCACCCCACTGGTCCCTGACAGACTGAAGCAGTTGCTTCATACTCACAGATGCATCTTTGCCTCGATACTTAAATTTTCTCAGCCTTTCTTCTGGAACATCTAAGGTAGACATATTGACTGGGAGGAGGAAACCACCTGCAGGGAGGAAAATTACAAGATGTTCAGTGTCCCGTGTGGGGGTTACTGTGTTAAAGTCACCAAGTGTTCTGCTCTCCAAAGGATCAGGGGGATCGGAGAGCAGACTC